AGACATCTTTTTTGAATAGAGAGACATATTTTCTCCTAAAATTAATACGTAGAAGAGATAGAGACTTTTTGAAAAAAGAGAGATGCCCACCTTTAAGGGAAGAGAGAGAGTGCATGAAAGGAAGAGAGAGTTTTTGAAGAGGGAGAGAGATGTCCCAACTTTAAGAGGATAGAGAAACTAAAAAAATTTAATGTGGGGAAGAGTGAGAAAAAGAGAGACCTTTTCTCTTAAAATTAGTGTGTGGTACAAACTAAACATTTCATTTCCATATTTAAGGGAAGAGACATTTAAGGGAGGAGAGAGGGAGAATAGGAATATTTTTGGAGAGAGAGTAGGCATATGAGTACCTATCCCCAACTCAAATTTAAGAGAGAGAAAGATACGCATACATATCTAAGATTGTTTGTGTGAAGAGTTTAGATTTTAGAAATAGAGAGAAAAAGTATAGATTTTAGGAAGAGACTGAGAGAGATTGTTTCTATATTTTAATTTGAAAAATAGGAGATCTTAAAGTAGAGATTTTAAGAAGAGAGAGAGAGAGAGAGAGAGAGAGAGAGAGAGAGAGATTGTTTCCTTATTTTTAATTTGAGAAATGGGAGAATTTTTCTTTCCCTATTTTTTGGTTCAAACTTTATAAAATAGGTACCTATCCCCAACTCAAATTCAAGAGATAGTAAGATATGCACACATATTAAAGGATATTTCCATATTCAAGGGGAATCCCAATCCAAGAGCATGATTATCCCTCTCAATGCATGCACTCCCCACTCTCTCTCTATCTCTCTCACATACACCCAATAAAAATTAAAATGACACCATCACCCCATTGTCGACCTCTGCCCCACCATCACTACCCACTTTCTTTGCTACCTGCGACGAGGTTGCTATCCTCACTCAACCACACCATGATCCTGTAACCACTTCCCCTTCCCTCCTCTGTCCTCATCTTCTCCACCTGTAACCAGCCACCACCTTAATTCCCCCTTTATCCTCCCTACAACTAGTCAGCCACCATTTCCACCTCCTCTCTCCACCCTGCTCTCCCATATCACCTCGCCACCCTTTCTCTCTCTAGAAGACACCCAACACAGTCGCCCCGACATCCTCCCTGTTTCTCTCATTCTCTTCCTCACCACGCCTGCCCAATAACAGATCTCTCTCTCTCTCTCATCATGCTTGTTGAATGATTGATCCCCCCTGTAAAATAAGTGGCCCCTCTCTCTTCCACTCCCGTCCATCCCTCTCTCACTCCTCTCTCTCTACTGCAACCCTTTCACTCTCTATTGCTGCTCTCTTTCCCTGCTGCAGTCTCCCCATCTTGCCCCCATTGTGTTCCCCCTATCTCCTTCTTACATACAACCTGAGGTCGTCGCCTCATCTCACTCCCCCTCTTCTTTTGTCTGTGTCCAAAACAAGCAGCAACCTGAGGCTGCCACCCCTTTTCTCCCTCGCTCCATCTTTCCTCTCCCTATCCTCTACCCACACTGTAGCTACCTGCCATGCCTTTTCCCTCTCTCGGCCTTCCCACCACCAGCAAATAGGTGGCAACCTGAGACCACTGCCAGCATCTCAGACCACCTTTCTTCCTCTTTCCCTAACCCTCTTCTGACGCCCCGGCGTTCTTTAAGCCACCTTGTACTTCTCTACCCCACGTTGCTGCTCTCTCTCTCTAGAATCGCAACAACAATCCCTCCCTCTTTATTTTAATTTGTCTCGTATTGCCCCCTTTCCCTTCTTCTCTCAATCTCTCTCGCTCTCTAGCCCATTTACAAGCACCCCTATGCAACCTCCCTCTCTCTCTCTCTAAAAAAACCACAAACGAAGCCTTTGCAAGATAGGATGTCATTTTAATTTTTATTAGGGTAAAAAATTCATCTCAAAAGGGATTCAGGGGGTTGCATGATAGGAAAAATGGAGTTCCTTTGCTTTCAAGTAATATTTTTCATCCTTGGGTCCAAAGAGATAGAGAAGTTAAAATTAGGGGTAAGAAGATATTTTCCCTAAACTATATTAGCTTCTATCTATCTGTGTTTTCTTTCTCTCTCTCTTTACGCACAGGTATTCCTTACTCTCAATTAGGTACATGTCTTTTTCTTTTGGAAAACATTTATATAAGGATGCAACCTTATAATGTAGAACTACGGATGCACCTCAAAAATCCATCGGAAAAGGTAGTTTTAATGTTGAAAATTTTTGATTGATCATCTCGATATCGAGATGTATGACTATGAAAAATAAAAAGATTTAAAGTCTCAGAAATAATGCATTTTACAACATACGATCTGCACCATCCATTTTCAAGATTTTCATATGTTTATAGATTTACTTGATTTTAACCATTTTTGAAATTTAAAATTTTTTAATTAGATATAAAAATAGATTTTGAGATAATCCTAAGAATACTTTTCATCAAAATTATATACCATGATAAAATTTGAAGGTGCACCTTACCTCTACAGCTGTAGATGCATCTGTATGCCAATTGCACCCCTTTCTTTTATGGATGGTATCAATATTTGTGGCAGTTTAGTTGTTAGTGTTTTCTCCATATCACACGATTCATTAGTTTTAATGTGATTCTCTACTATACTTTTCATTGCATGGGATGTTTTAGTTATGGATTGAAGCAAGTAAGAGTCTATGTTCACAAAAATGTAAAAACAAGTATTCATGGTCAAAATATTTTTTGATCTTTGCCAAACTGATATAAAAAAGCATATTACAAATATATAAATTTTTTTTGGGGCTTTTTATATTTTTATTTTTAAAATAACCCCTCTCAATGCATGCACCCCTCCCTCTCTCTCTCTATCTCTCTCTCATTAGTCAGGGTTTTGATGTTATAGAAGTTAGAAAACCCTAAAAGGGACATACCCAAGCCATTTGCTCATATAAACCATATTAACTTCTACTTATTGTTTGTTATCTCTCTCTCTCTCTCTCTGTGTGTGTGTATGTGTGTGTGTGTGTTGCATAGGTCTTCTTTACTCTCAATCAGGTACGTGTCTTCCATTTTTTCCATAATATCAATATTTATGACAATTTAGTTATTAGTATTTTCTCCATATCGCACGATTCATTAGTGATTCTCTATTATACTTTTTATTGCATGGGATGTTTTAGTTATATGGATTGAACACGTAATAATCTATGTTTACAAAAACGTAAAAATAAGTATTCATGGCCAAAATATTTTTTAATTTTTGTCAAAACAATAAAAAATATATATAAAAAAATATTACAAATAGATTTCTTATTTTTTGGGGTTTTTTATATTTTTAAAAATGTAAAATCTCCCTAATTGGGCCAAAATATTTTTCAAACTTTGCTAAAATGATAAAAAACATAAAAAAAATATTACAAATATGATTCTTATTTTTTTGAGACTTTTTATATTTTTAAAATTCCGTTGAATATCCTCGAGTAGCTTCTCGATACAACAACCAAAACCGGCCACTTCATTGCTCTCTAAAGTATGAGGAAGTAGTAGTAATAAAATAATGAAATAATTTTTTTGTTTTTTTCATTGTTTGCCGTAATATTTACTAAAATTATTGATAAAACCACTTACCAAGTACTTAATTTATAATGGTCTATGCATGCACCCATAAAACTTATCATGCATGTTGTGCTTCCATGTTTTTTTTATTTTTTATTTTTTATTATCGTAATGCATGTTGCACTTCCATTAAATCAAATAATGTATGTTCATTGATATGTTGTGCAATATTTATTTGCGAAAATAATTGTTTTGATCTATCGTCCAAAATTTTTGAAAGATTGTCTTAATGTAGAAAATCACTATTATGAGAATTATGTTTATATTCATGCAAATACTTAGCAAATTTATGTTAGGCATCAAGACAAAAAATTTGTGATGATATTATGTAATAGGAAATATATCCTAACTCTAAAAGTCACTCATATCTTATTAGTGTATGATTTGCTGAAATAGTGTTTGATATATTCAAAATTTGTAGCAACTATGTAATAACAGAAAATGGGTAATAACTCTAGAAACCACTCAATTCATAAGAGTTCTTTGAACAAAAAACCAACATAAAGATACACATTAATACTACATATTTATAAGATTAATGGTCATTATGTTCTACGTGCAACGCACATAATCCAATTAGT